ATTGGAGTCACGTTTCGTTAATAAAAGATTAAAAAAATATTTTTTTAACTGCTAAAACAAATTTATTTATAGACATTTTTATTAATAAATTCTTTTCAGCTCGACGAAATAAATATTTAATAAAATATAAATATGTAAATTTAAATTTAAATTTGTAAATTTGTAACATTTCATATATAAAAATTGTTTTATTATTATTTTTTTTGCATTTTATTTCTAATTTAGTTAATAAAAGTTCTCAATTAAATTATGGCTTTTAAAATTTAAAATTAATTATAACTCTGTAGTACTTTTTTAAATATAAAATCTCTTAATCCTTTATATTTTTGCATTTTCTTTTGCTACAGTTGTTAATTAATTGAAATTTTCTGATACATCAAAAGGAATTTACTAATCACTATTATATGAACACAAGAAGTAATATGAAAAAAATAATAATTTAGCAGTAACAGACATTCGTAATTTAACTAATTACAAACCTAAATTAAAGAAATTAATTTTATTTTTAAAATGTAATATTAGATTTAAAAATAAAACATTAAACATCAATACATTTTCTAGGAATTATGCTAATTTTGCAATGTTTAATCTACTTTTTTATTTTACTAAATTTATTTATTTAAAAATAAATAAGTGAATAAGAAAGGTTTACTAAATTCCAGTTAAATTGTACTGTTAAGCAGCATTAAGGTAAATATATAAGAAAAAATTTACATTAAATACATTAATTTCTTATCAAAGAATAACTATTTAAAATTTTTTTTCTTTAAGAAAATGCCATTTTAAGATCGAAAATAATCCAAAAATATCAAACGAAAACAAAATCGATCTTGTCTCTTCGTCATTTTTTAAGGTGACTGAGGTCGAAGTTTGTATAATGGTTTGTTGTGGTACAAATTGTCTGTCACCAACTTGTTTCCCACTTTAAGAAAGTTTCCAGGTATTTTATCCAAAATCAATAGTCTAGTATATACTTTTTGCCATCTTTGGCAATGTCATAAACTCATTCTAAGTACAGATACATTGGAGAAATTTCTGAAACTTTGCCACTACCACAGATGTATTATATCACCGAGAAAAAATTAAATCCTCTTTTATACCTTTTATGTATTTTTCTTACTTCTCGAAAGAAACAAAAATAAAATAAAATTAGATTTTTGAATCCAAACAGAATAATTTTAACTCATTTAAAATTATATTAAACAGAGCATTTGTTGTTGCTCTCCATTAATCTTTTTCGCGTAGAATCTTTATACGTTTTAATTTAGACAGACAAATTATTTAATATTTAATTATACTTTTTACTTATTCGAAAAGTATCTTTAATTGCAATTACTTTATTACAATTTTAACTAGATTTATTATTTTAATTTTGATAAACATTTTATATATTATTCAGTATTTTATTATTATAAATATAAATTATTCATTAATTTTAAGTCTATATTGAAATTTTTCAATGTAGGTTTAGTTTGCGAGTGTTTTTGTGACTCAAAAATAGTCCTCTTACCGATTTAATATAGTTTATACCCTTAAAACTTCTTGTTAATGCCAATAAGAAAATTAAATGAGGCTACATAAACCATTTAGATTAATTATTTCTTGTTCGTGTACAACATATTTACAGGCTGTAAGTTTGTAAATGCTTAAAAATTTTTGGACATAAAGAAATGAGAGCATAAAACATAAATAATGAGCATAGAATATATAGAACATGAAGTAATGAGCATAGATAGCATCGAATTTGAAGAAATTAAAATAAAGAACACAGAACACAGCGAATCGTTTTTGATTATAGAGAAATGGAGCATAGAACACAAAATAATGAGCGTAAAGAACATAAAACGTAAACATAAGAAATGCTTTTCGTTACAGAAAAATATGAAAATATAAATATAAAATCATAACAGACGAAGCATCCCTATGATTAACAACTGCCAATAATAGTAATAATCAATCAATCTTTTATTCGTATGAAGCAGGTTATCTGTTTAGCGAACAAACCAATGTGATTTGTCAAAATTGTCATCATTTCGTTCAATCAAAACACACGACGAATTATTGACATGACATTAATCATCTTTTATTTTTATCGAATTGCTTCAATTTTAATGACGATTCTCTCATTTATCAATCAATAAGATCAAATTTTTATGTAATTAATCAATCGCTATTTAAGTATTTATCAAAACTCGTTTATCTTCAATTTATCTTAGATTTAAAAATAAAACATTAAACATCAATACATTTTCTAGGAATTATGCTAATTTTGCAATGTTTAATCTACTTTTTTATTTTACTAAATTTATTTATTTAAAAATAAATAAGTGAATAAGAAAGGTTTACTAAATTCCAGTTAAATTGTACTGTTAAGCAGCATTAAGGTAAATATATAAGAAAAAATTTACATTAAATACATTAATTTCTTATCAAAGAATAACTATTTAAAATTTTTTTTCTTTAAGAAAATGCCATTTTAAGATCGAAAATAATCCAAAAATATCAAACGAAAACAAAATCGATCTTGTCTCTTCGTCATTTTTTAAGGTGACTGAGGTCGAAGTTTGTATAATGGTTTGTTGTGGTACAAATTGTCTGTCACCAACTTGTTTCCCACTTTAAGAAAGTTTCCAGGTATTTTATCCAAAATCAATAGTCTAGTATATACTTTTTGCCATCTTTGGCAATGTCATAAACTCATTCTAAGTACAGATACATTGGAGAAATTTCTGAAACTTTGCCACTACCACAGATGTATTATATCACCGAGAAAAAATTAAATCCTCTTTTATACCTTTTATGTATTTTTCTTACTTCTCGAAAGAAACAAAAATAAAATAAAATTAGATTTTTGAATCCAAACAGAATAATTTTAACTCATTTAAAATTATATTAAACAGAGCATTTGTTGTTGCTCTCCATTAATCTTTTTCGCGTAGAATCTTTATACGTTTTAATTTAGACAGACAAATTATTTAATATTTAATTATACTTTTTACTTATTCGAAAAGTATCTTTAATTGCAATTACTTTATTACAATTTTAACTAGATTTATTATTTTAATTTTGATAAACATTTTATATATTATTCAGTATTTTATTATTATAAATATAAATTATTCATTAATTTTAAGTCTATATTGAAATTTTTCAATGTAGGTTTAGTTTGCGAGTGTTTTTGTGACTCAAAAATAGTCCTCTTACCGATTTAATATAGTTTATACCCTTAAAACTTCTTGTTAATGCCAATAAGAAAATTAAATGAGGCTACATAAACCATTTAGATTAATTATTTCTTGTTCGTGTACAACATATTTACAGGCTGTAAGTTTGTAAATGCTTAAAAATTTTTGGACATAAAGAAATGAGAGCATAAAACATAAATAATGAGCATAGAATATATAGAACATGAAGTAATGAGCATAGATAGCATCGAATTTGAAGAAATTAAAATAAAGAACACAGAACACAGCGAATCGTTTTTGATTATAGAGAAATGGAGCATAGAACACAAAATAATGAGCGTAAAGAACATAAAACGTAAACATAAGAAATGCTTTTCGTTACAGAAAAATATGAAAATATAAATATAAAATCATAACAGACGAAGCATCCCTATGATTAACAACTGCCAATAATAGTAATAATCAATCAATCTTTTATTCGTATGAAGCAGGTTATCTGTTTAGCGAACAAACCAATGTGATTTGTCAAAATTGTCATCATTTCGTTCAATCAAAACACACGACGAATTATTGACATGACATTAATCATCTTTTATTTTTATCGAATTGCTTCAATTTTAATGACGATTCTCTCATTTATCAATCAATAAGATCAAATTTTTATGTAATTAATCAATCGCTATTTAAGTATTTATCAAAACTCGTTTATCTTCAATTTATCAACTAAAAATGTTATAAAAATACAAAAAAAAAATAAATTTATATAATTATTTTGAAATTGAATCTTTAAAAATAAATTTAAATTTAAAGAAAAAAGTTTTTAAGTTTTGTATAACTTATATAACATTTTTGATTTTATTTAATTGAGTGTAATAAAACATTTTTCAATTATTATAATTTAAAAATTATACTTTTATATATATTAGAAAAAGTTGAACTTAATTAAACGTAATAAATAAAAAGTAAAACTTGTATTTTTTTTTCACTTTTAGATTTTCTTTCCAATCAGTTTATATTAAATAAAATAGATTGTTAACAGGAAAGAATTTAAAAAATTTAATTGGGCTTATTACAACTTCTTACACAATAAAAACTTTTGATATTTAAATAATGTATATTTCATATTATTTAACGTTCTTAGAATTTTCTCTAAGGCTAAAAATCTTCATTTAATGATGAAAGATCTTTCACCTTTAGCAATAATACATCTTTAATAAACTTCCACAAAAATTGGAATCAATTTTTCTGCTTTAATAAATTTGTTTGTCGCTGAATTTAAACATCAAAAAAATGTTTAAAAATAAAGCTTGTATTAATAAATTTATTATTTCGTTGTTATAATTTATTAATATATGAAAATTTCTATTATCTAACGAAGCTTGATAATGGAATTTAATGAAAAGCGAAGCTTTTCATTAAATTTCATATACTGTAGTGTCACCTCGTATCTATCGCTCCAAGGCAAAAGGCTCTATCTCCAAAAAATTGAAAATCAAGCTGCGCCCATGGAATCATACCTAATTCTTTATCGATACCACGCAATATCTAACTTGGTATTGATTAACGTAGCGTTTTCATTCTAGGTATCAATAAAGAATAGTATTGGGTATGATGCCACGTGGGCAGCTTGATTTTCAACGTTTTTTTTTGAGATAGTGCTTTTTGCCTTGGAGCAGCAGTTATGCGCTTTAAATATATATATTTTTTTTAATGATATGATAAAATGAAATTATTTTATTAAAGTTCGAAAACTTCATTTATTATTTTGTTAGATTTAATAATAGTTTTATTTGATAATTTTTAAAATAACAGCTACATTTTAACAAACATATAACACACCGTTTATTTATTTATTTTTTGTTTAACAAGATATAATTCATAATCATTCCCTTTAGAAAGAAATAAATTAAAATCTCTCAAATTACAATATATATTTATATATTTGACTTATATTTAGGATTCGTCTATTAAAAGTTGCTATCACATTCCTTTTCATATAATATTTCTTCGATTTTGCTTTCGTGTTTAAGGGAGTTCTGTTTTATGGATTTTGGAAAATCTTCTTTAAAGATAGCATTGGAGTTGGAAACTTTTTTAAAATAACATTTAGTAATTAATCATTTTTCTTGGACTGAGATTTATTAAATGGTGTATCTATCGAAGAAGTGTGAGTTGTAACCTTATTTTTCGAGATATCTTCTTTTTTGGACGAACGTTTCGTCCTACTCGTTTCTCCTTTGGGACCTTGATTTATTTCGTCGTTCATTGATTCCGCGTTACGTTTCCCGAAATGCATGATGTTATGATGGTGGTTGTCTTCTTTCTTTGGGTAAAACAATAGTTTGTAATCACCACGCTTATCCATATCTCCATCCATGCGTTTACCGAAATGGATCATAGAGTGAACTCGCTTATCGAACTCGGTATTGAATCGTTTGCCAAAATGCATCAGAGAATGCGATCGTTTCTCGTCTTCGTCGTTTAATCTCTTACCGAAATGCATCAAGGAATGTGATCTTTTTTCTTCTTCTTCGTCATTCAACCTCTTACCGAAATGCATTAAAGAATGCGATCGTTTCTCTTCTTCGTCGTCCAACCTTTTACCAAAATGAATCAGCTGATGCGCTCTTTTATCGTCTTCTAATTCAAATCTTTTCCCGAAGTGGATCAATTTGTGATCTCTTTTCTCTTCGTCTCCGTCATATCTTTTACCAAAATGCATCAATTGATGGGAGCGTTTGTCGTCCAGTTCGTAAGGCTCGTCTTTTTTACCAAAATGAATCATAGAATGGGCTCTCTTTTCGGAATTCATCGGAAGTAAGTCTTCTTCGGAATCCACCATATCTTCATTATCATTACTGTAATTACTAGAATATTCCTGATCTTCGTAATCTCTTTTTCCGAAGTGAATCATAGTATGAGGAAATCTCTTGTTTCCCATATTAGGAGATTCTTCGGATTTAGAGGGGCGAGGAAACAAGAAACGCTTACCAAATCGTATAAGGGCGTGTTGAGGACGTTTAAGCATGGTATGATCATCTCCATCATCAATGTTGTCGTAATATTCGTTGGATGTTGCATCTTCGTCATCTCGTTTACCGAAATGGATGAAATGATGATCATCGGCTCTCTTGCCAAATCTCATGATGTTATGACCTCTCTTCCACCAATCGCGATCGTCGCTTCTCAAAATCCGAAGAAGTTCTGGAAACCTATTGTCACCAGATATGCTAAAGGCTCTTTTTCCAAAATGAATCATATTATGATTTCTTTTTTGATCTAATTCATCATCAATCATTCTTTTTCCAAACCTCATGATATTATGTGATCTCTTTGCATTATCCGGATAATTATCGAAGAACTCGTTCGCAGGAGCATCTGAACAAAAGATTAATATATTACAATAAAAGTATACATTTTATAAAAATTTTCATTANAAATCGACGTTTGAAAATTTATTTTTTAATCTCTTAAATTTATCAATTTATATTTCTGATTTTTTCACTTTCCATATATAATAAATTAATAAATTAAATTTAAGAATTAATTATAAACAGCTTAATAGCGTTTCTTTTATTATATTTTCAATGGTAACAATTTATATAATTTATTGGGCTACAATTTGAAAAAATTGTTGATCTATAAATTCCTACTGTGGTCTGTCTTTTTGTCTGACCTTCCTTAATCTCGAGAACGAAGTGAGATAAATGAAATTCGAGACCAGATATGGAAAGAAATTAGAAAGGAGGCCCTGATTAACTATATAAAAACCTCTGAAGCAAACTGGAAGTCACGTTATTTCAATTCAAATATTTTCCCTAAAAAAGGAGTTAGATAGATAACCCGCATGACTCTGCTGTTACCAGGAAAAGTATGATGTACAGGGACTACTAATTCATAACGGCCACGTTTAGGATCTTTATTTGAAAAAAATTCATAAAAAATAATCTCCGAACGACATCCATTTTTATATGTTCCTGTCACTAGCCATTGCTCAGAGGTTCGACTTATTTAATTTATATAGTAATTATACACCGTTTTTATTTCTTAATTACATATTAAATTATGTGTATAGTTCATTATTATATTGCAAATAAGAAATTTCTTTTCATTAAAGAAAAACTAATTACATTTCATTCATTCATGCAAAAGTATTAACTAACATGTAACAGAATTAATTTTCTTTCTTTACTCATTTATTACGTCGTTGAAGCTGTATTCTATGAATAAATATATAATTATTTTAATGACGTTTTAACTATATTCCATAGATAAATTCATTTAAAATTACATGTAGTGTATATTCGAATACTGTATTTAATATAAAAACTAAAAGTAGTAAAGAAATATTTTCACAATTTAAATTTGATTGATAATCTTTTATGTTTTAAAAATTACATTAGAATTTTTAAATATTTCAAGTGATCAAAATTAAAAATTTCATTTGAAAAAAATGCTATTTATGAGAAGAATTTTACATTTATTTCTTACTATTAAACTCTTCTTTTATCTGTTCTAAAAAATAAATAATATTATAAACACTATTTTATGTAAATTTAATGTAATTAAACAATGCCATATATGGAAAAAAATTATTTAAATATAATTTTAATCTTTCTCAACTGCACATAGCTAAAAATATCATTAACTAATGCATACATAACTCCGAAGAAGATATGGCTATAATTAATATACGAATGTCAATATTAATTTTCGTGGGAATAACCAGAAATATAATTTGTAAGTGATAGCAAAGCATCTTGATTGAAGGTATTGGACATTTATAGATGAATAGTAATTAAAGAGAAAAAGAAAAACAAGCAACATCCAATTAATTTTTTTATGGGCTACTGATTTAATTACTCAAAAACGAAATTTCCTAAGTCTTCTTAATAACTGTTATCGTATTATAAATATAAAATTCCCTTCTCGTATGTGGAAATACAATAAGAATAAAAATAACAATGTAAAAATAATTAACGATATCCTGATGCTATTTAAATTTTACATTCGTCTCTTATTACGTTTATTGTAATATGAGAAGAATGAAAGCCATAATAGCCACTTCGTAAACATTTTTACTCAAAATTCATTAATTAACTTTCTATAAAAACTGTTATTAAATGGCCTACAGTTTTGTACAATTTGTTTCAAGCTGTAGTTAAAAGAAAATAATTAATCAATACGTTATAGTGATTATTCATAGCCAATAATAATGATAATCATTTTAATATTTAATAAAACTTATTTTAAATTTGGAATTTTATCACGTGAAATTATTTTTAAAAAGTATAAAATTATGTAAAACTTACTTTCATTTTCATCTGTGTTTGCTTCCACCCCCAAAACTACCAATAAAACTGCCAAGTTGAATAATGACATAGAATATTTGAATAGCATCACGCCTGTAAGAAAATATTTAAATAATTAAATATTTCATTCATAAAATCAATTCATACATAAAATAAACATTCGTATTATTCTATTCATTCGCGTTTCTTTAATTCTGAATGAATAAATATATTTTTTTCAAATTTATTTTTTTAATAAATAAATAAATAAATAATATTTGTTGTTATTTATGGAAAAAAAACAGCAATAATAATGAAAAAAAATTGCAAAATAATTTACATTTTTCTGAATAAATTAACGTAAGAAATTTAATTTCGTTTCTATTTATTAATAATAATATTTTAAATTAAACAATTTATTTAAGTAAAATATTTCTATAACACAAATTATTTTTTGAATGATTGAAAAATTTATTTACTTATTCTTTCACCACTTTTAACTGTTTTAAAATTTTCTTTCGTATTTTTAAAATAAAATTTTATAGTAAATAAGTATTCGTAATAGAAACCGTAAATGATTTTAAGCGTTATAAATACATTAAATATAGATAGAAATCCGAAAAAAAAAAGAGTACAGTAAACTTAAATTACANTATTTTACAATCGAACGAACTTCCAATAACGGCCACGTTTAGGATCTTTATTTGAAAAAAATTCATAAAAAATAATCTCCGAACGACATCCATTTTTATATGTTCCTGTCACTAGCCATTGCTCAGAGGTTCGACTTATTTAATTTATATAGTAATTATACACCGTTTTTATTTCTTAATTACATATTAAATTATGTGTATAGTTCATTATTATATTGCAAATAAGAAATTTCTTTTCATTAAAGAAAAACTAATTACATTTCATTCATTCATGCAAAAGTATTAACTAACATGTAACAGAATTAATTTTCTTTCTTTACTCATTTATTACGTCGTTGAAGCTGTATTCTATGAATAAATATATAATTATTTTAATGACGTTTTAACTATATTCCATAGATAAATTCATTTAAAATTACATGTAGTGTATATTCGAATACTGTATTTAATATAAAAACTAAAAGTAGTAAAGAAATATTTTCACAATTTAAATTTGATTGATAATCTTTTATGTTTTAAAAATTACATTAGAATTTTTAAATATTTCAAGTGATCAAAATTAAAAATTTCATTTGAAAAAAATGCTATTTATGAGAAGAATTTTACATTTATTTCTTACTATTAAACTCTTCTTTTATCTGTTCTAAAAAAATAAATAATATTATAAACACTATTTTATGTAAATTTAATGTAATTAAACAATGCCATATATGGAAAAAAATTATTTAAATATAATTTTAATCTTTCTCAACTGCACATAGCTAAAAATATCATTAACTAATGCATACATAACTCCGAAGAAGATATGGCTATAATTAATATACGAATGTCAATATTAATTTTCGTGGGAATAACCAGAAATATAATTTGTAAGTGATAGCAAAGCATCTTGATTGAAGGTATTGGACATTTATAGATGAATAGTAATTAAAGAGAAAAAGAAAAACAAGCAACATCCAATTAATTTTTTTATGGGCTACTGATTTAATTACTCAAAAACGAAATTTCCTAAGTCTTCTTAATAACTGTTATCGTATTATAAATATAAAATTCCCTTCTCGTATGTCGAAATACAATAAGAATAAAAATAACAATGTAAAAATAATTAACGATATCCTGATGCTATTTAAATTTTACATTCGTCTCTTATTACGTTTATTGTAATATGAGAAGAATGAAAGCCATAATAGCCACTTCGTAAACATTTTTACTCAAAATTCATTAATTAACTTTCTATAAAAACTGTTATTAAATGGCCTACAGTTTTGTACAATTTGTTTCAAGCTGTAGTTAAAAGAAAATAATTAATCAATACGTTATAGTGATTATTCATAGCCAATAATAATGATAATCATTTNTGTTAATTGCTTTTCTTATGTAAATAAAAATTATTAATTTAAATAACTATTGTTGTAACCTGCTTCTATTTTGAGGAACAATAATACTGTTTTATTTAATTCACAAAAAATATAGACAAAAAGAATTAGGTTAAATGGCAAGTAACATTGCGTTAGAATGTTTACAAGCACAACTTTAAATCACGTAATTTTTTCCGCGGAAATTTAATTATAGATTCAAATGGGACGTGATATAAAAAAGTTTGAATAACAATTAATGTCATTTGATATTATTTAAAAGATCTACGGTTATATAAGTAAATATATTATGCAAGATATAAAAGACCTTACATCATCCAAGATATAAAGCTGTGTAAAAATATTTTATATAGTTTACAGCAAGTTATTACTATTAACAATGATCATAAATGGAACGTCATTAAACTTTAAAGAATATCAAATTTATATTTAAGGTATAAAAACTACCAAATCCGAATTTGTTAGAAGATAAATCCGATTTTATAACCTTAATCCAATTTAACTATTTAAAAAGAGATTATAGTGAAAACAATTACCTTATTTTTCTTTAGAAAAGGACAAATCTCATACAGTATTTTGTTATTAAGCTACAAGTTTACTACAAAACTTTAATAACTTTAGCGTTACGTTTACGATCCATTAAATAAAAAGAAATGATAGAAAGATGTATTTTTATATATATTTATCCACTCGCAATAAGCACAATCCGATTAAATAAGTGCTAGATATATTTCAATAATATAGACGAATGAATACAATTCAAGGCTTACTCTGAACAAAATTCAAAATAGTTCATCCAAAATATTGAATTGGATAGGATTTCGAAAATACATAAAGTTGAAAAAGATTCCTTTCAATAGGATATATAAAAGCTAAGTAATCGCTCTACTACAATCATTTCAAAGAAAATGATAGCGGCATCTTTCATTGTTTCAAATATATTAATAAATAATTTTTAAAACAAAGTTTTAAATTTAAAATAGATGAATCTATTAAAATCCTTTTTAAAGTATTTTATCCGCTGTAAATACATTATGAAATAATTTGATTGGTTTTTCATTTTTCTTTGCCTGCGATTAAATAAGTAGCAAACAAATCTACTTAAGACCATTTGAAACGTTTTTATATATTTAATTTCGAATGAAAAATTATATTTTTTCGATTCAAAAATTCTACCCGTCTAGAGGGAAAATTGAGGATTTTTTTCCCCTTGTTTAGGAAAAACAAAGGCAAAAGAGGACAGATCTGCCCCGGGCCTCATACCACGCTTTCGACTGGCCTGAAAGTATGTTACATAAACCTATATTATATATGAAGTCTAGTATTATGTTGATGAAAGGATCAAAATTTCTTTCAATTTTCGTCTAACAGATGAACTGGGGTGCTTAAAAATACAAACAGTAATTTGAATTTTTCATTTATAATAATAATAATGAAAGTTTAGGATAAACAGAATTTCATTTCTGAAATTCAACCTCAAACTGCTTTTTTTACAATGTTGCAAAATTTATTTCCTTCCATTAAAAATCCATCAGCACTTTTAAACTGATTACAAAAGGAATCTATAAATCTTCAACTCGGAATTTTTAATATTAAAATATCCCATTTTTAATGGAAATCGTGGTATTTCTAAGAATCATTTCATTACATAACATGCATTTTCGATCTTTTTTCGCTACTAAAAAAGTTGTTTATTGTTACTTTTTTCTTTACTACATTTCCCATCCTAAATCTAATCACTTTAAACTGAAAAATACTATATTAACTACAAAAAAGACGACAAACATTTCTACAAATAATACCTGTTTTATAGTAAAGATTAATATATTTGAATGATTTTGAGCTCAACAAGTAGTTTCAACAAGATAAGTGAACTGCTATTTGGAACTGATAATTAAATATTTTTGTTAATTATTTATTTTTATATACCAACTAACAGCCAATGTTGAAAAATTAATAAGTTCTAATTATTTATTATTAAATTTAATATTATAAAACGACAGAAATATTCATTTCTCAATGTATTTTTTGTCTTGTATCAACGCAACTTTAGCATTATTTATATATCCGTTTAATTAAGCTAACATTATTATAATCTGTAAATAAAAATATTAAGGTTAATATTTTATTTTAATATGAAACGGCACGAATGATTTGCATTGTCTAGATGCAATTTTAAATTAAACATTTTTTATAAGTGGAGGGCGACAAAACAAGTTGATAAATAAAGGAATAAAGCTAAAAAAATAAATTAAATCTTTCAAATTTTAAGATTCTCTGATACTTATTAAACTTTTCGCGTCGATTTATCTTTGTTACACGAATACAACAGTCACTATTAAAACAAGTTCAATTCCATCTGAATGTCAAATTTTCCTGTAAATTGCCTCCCGTTCCTGAACTAATGGTGGAAATCGTAAACGTTAAAAAATAAATGGAGAATAAATGGGCTTATTTCTACATAATGTATATACATATATACATGAACATTGGCTTTTTTCTATGATTATAAAAATAGATTTCTCTATTTTACGAAAAAATCAAATATAGTAAGATAAAAAATTTTCTGAATGGTTCCGTTATNAATAATTTACAAAGATCATATCAAAGTTAGTTCAATTTTCATTAAAATTTTTACTAAATTTAGGTTATTTTTGTAACGTTTTGTGTTAGAAATCTTAGTTTAAATATCTAATACTTTATTTTAAATGTTTATTAATAATTTTTAGATAAATTAATTAATTAATATCCAGAAAAAAGAATATCTAAATAACTTTTCAGCATTAGAAAAAATATTTTTAACTAATTTTTTAAATTTATATTAAAAAAAAATACCTTTCATACAATTGAAGTATATTCAGAATTTTTAATAATTTTATTTAAGCTCTACTTTTTTATATAAATAACAGTGAATTTTTCAGTAAATTTGATCAAAATGTAAATTATATCATGTCTTAGGCAACGAATCAGTTAAATTTATAACTTTTTTATGAAAATAAAATTTTTTATGCAATAAATCTCTTATTAAGAATCAACTATGAACGTGATATTTCTATTGCATTTTTATTCTTTGAAAAATATAAAT